ATTACAGAGACATTAGACAGTAGAAAATGCATTCGTCTGACTATAATCTATCTTAAGAAGTAGTCACAGGTTTCTATGTGGTACTATTATTTTGCTTGGGAGGGGCAGGTGAGGGAAGGAAACTCAAGTCTCTGACTTGGACTTAAAGGTGTCTGGCTTTCATCCAGGTGCTGAAACACCAGCTGTGCTGCTAATAGGCCGATTTCAGATTCGTGTAGAAATCTTGGCTATTTAATAGGCAAACTGTAATCACATCGCTGCCACGTTTAAAAGCGAACACAGGCTGATACGTAATCAGAGGAGTTTGGTGCTTCGAAAAGAATACTCAGTGTTAGAAAATCAAAATCTGGGGACCAGCAGATGGTGTAATGGCTATGTCGCTGGACTCCCACTTAGCTAACTGTGGTTCGAGTCCTCGACCTGGTGTCTTAAACTCACACGGGGTACATGTGTGTGCGTGTGTGCCCAAGATCCTGAGAGGAGAATAGGAGAGAAGAAATGGCGGCATGGCCACCCCCGGGGGCGGGTGGTGATTTCTCGCTTTCTGTCTCTCTGTCTCTTGCTGACGAGTGCACAAGCCCTATAGCAAAAACTTCTTTGGGGAGGGGGGTAAGGAAGGAAGGAAGGGGAAGGAAGGAACGAAGGAAATCAAGGTCTATTTCCAGCTTGACCTTCCTGTTCTGCTTAATCATGCAAAGGTCAGATGGGCTGTTTAGATGTCATTGTTCCAATAGTAAGAAGAACTGTCAACATCATGATCTTAAAAGGGAGTAACTAAAGTATCCAGAGAGACTTCTGCTATACTCTACAAAACCACTGACTAGTCATCAAGAAATTCCTCCAGCGCTGGTCCAGTGTTACCTCCCAGAATCCTCCTGAGATTCAACTAGCAGTGTGAATGAGCGACCCTCACTGATCCTCTGGAAAACAGACCTATGCACCAGTAGTGACAAGCACGTCTCATGAAAGCCAATGGATAAACAGAAATGTAATAAAAAACAGGCACCCAGTGTGATTCTCAAGCCTGTGGTCCGGGACTCGAACCATGTAGTTGGTCCAAGTACCACATGGCAGGCTGGCTGTTCTATAAACTGTTTGAAGACCTCACCTATACATTCCTACCCACTCAGAGCAAAACAAGTACTCACAGGCTGGGATGAGGCAGGCGGGGGAAGAGAGTCAGAGAATAAGCAAGGAAAACATTGGGGCATCAGAAAAGTCATGATGCATTTTTGAAAAAACAAAAACAAAAACAAAACAGAAACATACATCATGACTTTCCCAACGAACTAACAGATACTGAGGAATGTCTTTGAAAAGAGGTTCCCGCTTATATTTCTGTTAACATAACAGGAAATTTTTTTTTTTTTTAGAGGTTTTTGCTACAGGGTGCATGTGCTTCCAAGAGAGAGACAGATAGAAAGTGAGAAATCACCCCCAGGGGGAATGGCTACGCTGCAATCCCTTCTCCTCCATTCTCCTCTTGGGATCTGAAGCACTCACGCACACGTGCCCGGCGTGAGTTTAAACCACCGGTTCCGGGACTCGAACCGCGGTGGACTACATGGGAGTTCAGCGACATAGCCATTACGCTAACTGCTGGCCCCAACATGACAGGAATTTGAGAACCAGCAGAAAAACGTGGGCATCTGAGAATAGAGGGGTTTATGCTCACTCTAATCTGACTGCCCCGGGAGTTGGCAAGCCCCTGAGAATCATTCTGAGCCTTCAAGCCAGAGGAGAACACTGCACGGGGTCTGTGCCTCGGCCAATCCCAAGTGCTCTGTGTGCTCAGGGATCCACTAGAACTTTCTGTCTAGTGATTGAGATTCTCCACAGAAACCCTACAGAGAGCCCAATAGGCACTCAGACAGATGCCATCAGCCTGGGAATGATGACCAAGACCCGGAGGCTCCAGTCATGTTAAGAACATAGAACAAGACCCAGAACATGGGAGTTGCAGAAGGAAGACCCCAGGCTTCCATAATCTGAGGCCCCTCCACTGTGAAATGAACAGACATGCAGGGAAGCTCCTTGGGTCTTGGAGGAAGTGGCTCGGGCAGTGCCTTGGTGGCAGTGTTCACTGGCAGCACATTTTTCTCCACTCAGATGTCAGAGCTGTTTGCATTTTTGCTTACCTGGCTGTCCTGGAGGCTGCAGACCTTGCCCTTCGTGGGCTGGAGGAAATTGTAGACAAAGAGGAGCAGTAACGCCAGGGGCAGCATGTACAGCTCGAAATTCCAGACTGTGACCAGAAACACCTGATGGAAGACGAAGGTGACAAAGGAAAATGTGACCGAGCGAACAACGGAGGAGTGGTCTTGACTGTGTACTCGTGGATGTGAGTAGTTTAAATCTGAGCTCCCCACGGGAACCAGCAGTTAGCGTAATGGCTATGTCGCTGGACTCCCACATAGTTGACTGCGGTTCACGTCCCGAACCCAGTAGCTTAAAACTCACACTGGGCACGTGTGCGTGCGTGCCCAAGATCCCGAGAGGAGAATGGAGGAGAAGGGATTGCAGCGTGGCCATCCCCCCTGGGGGGTGATTTCTCACTTTCTGTCTCTATATCTCTCTCTGTCTGGTGAGCGCACGCGCCCTATAGCAAAAACCTCTCAAAAAAAAAAAAAAAATCTGAGCTTCCTATAGTAGATTATAGAATAAAAATAGTTCTGGGAACCAGCAGAGGGCGTAATAGTTACACTGCTGGACTCCAACGTATCAAGCGCAGTTCACGTCCCAGACCCAGTGGCTTAAAACATGCTGGGTACATGTGCACGCATGCCCAAAATCCCAAAAGGAGAATGGAGGAGAAGGGATTGTGGGATAGCCAATCCCCTGGGTGGGAGGTGATTCCTCACTTTCTGTCTCTCCAGTGAGTACACGCATCCTATAGCAAAAATCGCAAAAATCTCTTCCTGAAAAAAAAAAAAAAAAAGAGGAAGAAGAAGAAAAAGAATTATAATTGTTACAGGGTGAGTGATCCAGTGGCCCAGTGGTTAAAGGAGCCAGATCCCACTGGCTGATGGCATAGTTTGAGTCCCAACACTAATGGAAAAAACAAAACAAAACAAAACAAAAAAAACACCAGGCACCTGTGCATGTGTGGCCTGAATCCAAGCAGGATGGAGACATGGACAAAAAGGATTGCAGCCTAAATTCCAAAGAGGTGCGCGCGCGCACACACACATACACACAATGATCGACTCGATTTTAAGACCGGCAGCCCTTGGAGGAGAACAGACTGAGTTTGAGAACAGAGTGTTAGCCGGCCGCACTCCGAGAGAGATACAGTAGCCTCATCCCTTGAAACTGTGTCCCCCTATCAACCCCACTGACTTGTTTTTTTCCTGAATTTTAGTGCTTCATCATTTAGGGGAAGCAGTGCAAAAGAGCCCAGTCAGAAAAGGGAGTGAAGAGGGTCAAAGGACATATTTTGCCAACAGTGAGACGCAGCTGAACTGGAGAGCATGATTCCTTTAAAGCTGGTTGCCAGTGTTTAAAAATTCAGGTATTTCGGGACCTGGCAGGTGAGGCAGTGGTTAAGGTGCTGGATTCCTACATGACCAAATGGCCTGAGTCCCAGACCAGGGGCCTGAAACTCACACAGGGAACGTGCGTGCAAGCCCAAAACCCTAGGAGGAGAGAGGAGAGTGGAAGAAAGGACAGCAGCATGGCCATGCCCCCGGGAGTGGGGGGTGGGGGAGAGATTTCTCATTTTCCCTCACTGTCTCTCTCCTTTCCAGCAAGCACACATGCCCTACAGGGGAGAAAAAAAAAAAATCTAGAAATTTCTGATAAGACTTCAGATTCCCCAATTATATTAAAAAATCTTAAAGTCTGGGCCAGCTCTGTGGCCCGATGGCTAAAGCCCGGCGCCGGCCTACGTCTATCTGCGTGCCCCATATCTGACAGGGTGAAGACACAGAAGAGAAGGGATTGGGGTGTGATCAAGTCCCATTGGGGGGAGGAGGGGGTGTTTTCTCCCTGTCTGTCTGTCTCTCTCTGGCAAACACACACGCACCCTATAGAAAAACTAAAAAAAAAAAATTAAAAAGGCCCATACCTCTCACTGACCCATATTGCCACTTTGGTCATAAATGAAGTTCCCAAATGAATTTCTCCACTAATTTTGGGTCCTCTGAACTTTATTATTATTATTATTATTTTTAGTTTTCTATAGGGCATGCACACTTGCTGGAGGAAGACAAAACAGGGTGGGGAGGAGTGAGAAACACCCCCCCAGGGGGGATGATCATACTGCAATCACTTCTCTGCAACTCTCAAAATTTTGGGCACGCACATACACACCAACCATGTTTTTCAAACCTACTGGTCCAAGACTTGAACCGTGCAATCAGCCATGTGGGATCCAGCTTCTTAACCACCACACCACCTGGCTGGCCCCTGTTCCTTTTCATTTGCCAAGACCACATCGTGAAACTCCAGTTTAATAAGCAGATAGTCATATCTGAGTAGGCCAGTGTCCATTACAAAATGATCATGAATTTATTTTCCCTTTTCTTTTTCCACATATATTTTAAAATCAATTCATAAATGTCTGTAAAACTCCTGGTGAAATTTTGTTAGGGACTGTCTCGAATTTATGTATCAATTTAGAGATCACGGACATCCTGATGTTGACAGTCCCAATCTTAAGGGTTGTTTATCTTTCCGTATGTTTAAGACTTCTTTTACATACCTTAAAACATTTTATTATTCACCACACTTTTGTTTTTGTTTTTCATGTTTTTTGCCATAGGGTACCTGCACTCACCAAAGAGACAGAGAGAGGAAAAGTAAGACATCACCCTCTCCCCAACCCTCGCAGGGCAGATGGCCACACAGCAATCCTTTCCTCATTCTCTTCTCAGGATTTGGGGTGCACACACATACGCGCCCAGCATGATTTTCAAGCTGCCGGGTCTGGGACTCAAACCATGATCAGCTGTGTGGGAGTCCAACACTGTAGTCAGCCTGTCACCTGCTGGCCCCTCAGTATACTGATTTTAAATATTTCTTCCTATTTTTCTAAGTAACTTAGAGTTTTGATACTATTTTGATATTATTTGTGAACGGTAATGGGGCCACTTTAAAATCTGTACACTTTACGAGACTGCAGGTGGCCTCGTGGTTAAGGCGCTGGACTCCCACGTGGTCAACCGCAGTTGGAGTCCCGGACCTGGCAGCTTAGAATTCACACTGGCTGTATGTGCGGGCATGCCAGAAATTCCAAGAGGAGAATGGTGGAGAAGGGATTGCAGCTGGCCATCCCTACGAGGAGTGACTTCTCACTTCCTATCTCTGTCTCTCCAGTGACCTCATTTGTCCTATAGCAAAAATCTCTCTCTCTCTCTCAAAAAAAAAGTATACATGTCAATAGATTACTTCTGGGTGTTAGCAACACTTATTTTCAAATGTTGTTTACATACTTTTTAACATTTTTATTAGGTGTGGGAGATTGCCAATACATCCTTTGGAGATCTGACATGGAAAATCACGTAAATTGCAAGTCATGGCAATGTTTCTTTTGCCTGCTAATTATCCGTTACTCATCTTTTCTCTTAGTGTTAAACCTCTTCACATTTGTTTGATGAGTAAATGTGGCATTTTTGAAATTTGTTTGAATCAATAAACACGATTATGTTGTTGATTTCTTTCATCCTGTTAATCTGGCTCACTTTACCGGCTTTCTTTCATTTACTGTTTTATAATATTTTTTTCCTATAACTTTCTATCTTTTGAAAGATTTCTTTTATCTGTTTGTGTGTGTGTGTGTCTGTGTGTTTACGTGTGTGCACGCACACATGTTTTAGCAAGGAAATCTAAAAATATGTATATAAAATAATGAAAAGTAGAGAAAATAATACCGCAATTTCTCCATGAGATAAAGCTAGTGGAATGTTGCTAAGTTTACCTCTTTCTTTCTTCGAGTTCTTAAAGTTCTATAGGGATTAGGAGTTTTAACTGTATACTAAATGGTTGCTGCTTCTCTAAAATAAACGTCTATCTACTGGGTACGTAGAATTTTATTCTTCTTTTAAATTGCAAAATGTAACTTTAAGTAAAAGGAAGATACAGAAAGCGATTGAGAATAATTAGGAAACAGAGTGTTTTTCATCTGTCTTCTTCATCACAGAGCAGAGAGCTGTTTATAATAAGCCTTTAACAAAATTACTTGGAATAACAACCAGCATTAAAGGGATGACTATGCTTGGCGAACACCTCATTTCCCATAATATCTGTCTCTATCAAGTATAGTTAAGCAATTCCAGAAGTGTTTGACACCAAAAAGTGGGTCACACTTAAATTTCTTTAGAGTGAGACCTTCTGCCTCTTTTTCTCTCTCTCTGGTGAGAGCATGTGCCCATTGGCACAAATAAATCTATAAACATAAATTAAATAATCAATCTCATGTTCCAAGGTGACACAGTGGTTAAGGTGCTGGATTCCCACATGGCCCACCAGGGTTCACGTCCCGGATCTGGCAGCTTAAAACAATCATGCTGGACCGAAGAGTGTGTGTGCCCAAACTGCCAAAAGGAGAATGAAGAAGGAACAATGGTGTGGCCAAGCACCCTGGTGGGTGATTTCTCACTTACTCTCCCTCTGTCTCTCCCTCTGTCTCTCTCTCTCTGGCAAGCACACATGTTAACAGAATGAACCTAAAAATAAATTCATTCTTTAAAAAAAAATTAACAGAATGTAGCAGAATTAGAGTCTCTACAATATAATATGCCTCATGTCTAAACTACATTTAAAATAATTAACATGAGGGACCAGCAGATGGCATAATGGTTACATCACTGATTCTCACGTAGTCAACCAAGGTTTGAGTTCTGGCCTGGCGGTTTAAACTCAGGCTGGGCACGTGTACATGCATGCCCAAGATCCTGAAAGGAGAATGGAGAAAGGATTGGGGGCATGGCTGTCTCCTCTGTGGGGTGATTTCTCACGGTCTCTGTTTCTCCAGTGAGCACATGTGCCTTATAGCAAAAATCTCTGGGGAAAAACAACTATAACAACATGCAAAGAATCAGGAAAATAGATTATATTTTCAAAGAAGAGGTTGTTAGTGCATGCCAACTCCAAGGTGACTACATGTAAACCTTATGAGCACTAGGACCAGCAGGTGGCAGAGTGGTTAAGATGCTGGACTCCCACATGGCTAACTGTGGTTCAAGTCCTAGACCTGGCGGTTTGCTTTCTCACTTTCTCTCTCTTTCTCTCTCTGCCTCTCTCTGGTCACATTTTAAAAATA